TGGCAGAGCAGAAACCAGTTCATGTGTCCACTTTCACTCTAGCTTGTGCCTATACATGGGTTTGCGTAGTCAAGGCAGAGGACATAAAAGCTGACAAAATACATATGATCTTTAACATAGACTGCAGGTCTCGCTTGGACCCTCCTATACCTGCAAACTATTTCGGAAACTGCATAGCAGGATGTGTACCAGTTGCCGAAACGAAAGGCTTGCCAGGAGAAGATGGGTTGGTTCTCGCCGTGAATGCAATTAGTGAGGCTATAGAAAGTTCGGAGAAGGGGGTTTTGGATGGGGCAGAGAATTGGGTTTCAAGGTTGTTTGCTGTGAGAAGTGAGGGAAGAATGCTCAGCATTGCTGGTTCACATCGGTTCAGAAATTATGATACTGATTTTGGATGGGGAAGACCAAAGAAGTTTGAGATTGTTTCCATAGATAGAACCAGAGCTATCTCCCTTTCAGATTCCAAGACTGGTGCTGGGGCTATTGAAGTTGGGTTGGTTTTAGACAAACATGACATGCACGTTTTTGCTTCTCTATTTGCTAAAGGTCTTCGAAACCTTTGAAGCGCATGAAGCCTCCGCAACAACATTTTCTTTTTGCACTTTAAATTTTCTGGAATAATAATTTGGGATTCGTTGTTCAATAGGTGACCAACCTTGTATGCTCTCAACAATCAGCTTTGTGATGTTTTTCTTTGGACCAGGTGCAGGTGGCTCTGTCCGTCTCTTTTCCTATGTACTGCATCAAATAAACTTCTTAGTGTTTTTTTTGGTCAACTATAAAAGTCGACAAACTTTGTATGCTCTCAATAATTACCTATATGTGAACTGTTGTCTTTGGACCAGGTTGCTAGCTCTGTTTCTTTTCCTATGTACTCTCTCTAATATCTGTTTCTTTTCCTCCGTATTATATCCAGTCAAAAACAATGTGCTTACTTTACTTTCCTTCTCTTCCAAAGCACTATTGTTAATTTATAGTATTCAACCAAAGTTGAAATATATATGTGAAATCGTATTTTAAATATATATATATATATATATTAATATTTTGGGAAATTAAATGTTTTGGTTGATTGTCAGATATATTGCAAGGGAAATTGGCACCATCACGATGGCAGGTCTTCTGACTTCATTGGATGCCTCAACCCGTTGGCTTCTTTGAAGAGCCCTCATCCTTTGGCTTTGAAAGGAGTAGCAGCCCAGCAAAGTGAAAAAAGGAGAATTGGGAGAGAAAATAGCAAACAAGCATTCAGCCAGAGAGAAAAAAATTATCTGAAATTGTTTTTTTGCTTTGTATTTTGTTTTTCTCTTATTGTGAGTGTGTGAGCTTGGTTATTTCCTTCTTCGGGAATGCTAGTAGTAGTAACCTTCTCTCTAACATTCCCTTTTGGATCTTCTCCTTTCTTCTCCGGACGTGTGCAAATTTCCATACACTTAAAATAATGTTATTAATGCATCACACTAGCTACTTTTTATTTGTCAAATTTACCCTTATTAAATGTATTGGCTTTTTTGTTTCCTCATTTATCTTTTTTTTTGGGTACCTATTGTACCAACTTGTTAAAAAAATTAAATAAGAACAAAAGTCAGTATTTTTTGGAAACTGAAAATATTATTGCTTTGTTTCTGAATGAGAAATCTCTTGCATTCATGAGCATTTTCTGTCTAATATTGCTTTCCATGCTATCTGAGTATTTTTGGAAACTGATAATATTATTGTTTTGTTTCAACGACCAATAGAAACAAAGAGAAAATAGGATTTTCATTTCTCTAGAGAAAACAAAAGACGTTTTTTTTCAACGAAAAAATACTGACGTTTTTTATTTATTTAATTTTTTAACAAGGTTGTTGTTAAAAAAATATATATAAAAAGACTAGCTTGTTGTAAATTAAAACAAAAAAGTTAGGGTACACTACCGAATACCCCCCTTAAACTATTTTGACTGTCAAATTTAGCACCCTAAATTATTTTTTCAGCCAATTTAGCCATCAGATTATTTTAAATGGTCAATTTAGCCTCTGTCGTTAGTTTTCATCCAATTTTCTGTCTAAATGTCACATGTTAGGCACGTGATTCACTATTTAATTAAAATTTAATTTTTTTAAGTTTAAAATAATTAAATTGTTAAAACTACAAAACTTTTATAAATAATAAAAAAAGGGAAGGCAATCAACGTCTTCGCTAGCCCCTTCCTCCCAAGACTCTATGTCTGCAATCCCACATCCACAAGGGTTTTCGAGTGAATGCCAATGGTTGGTCCGTGTAAATAAACATATAATCAAAATCAAGATATGTTTTCATCTTCATCGCCACCTACTTTTTCTTGATTGGGTCAATGGGATTTAGGGATTGCATTCACAGTGTTTGGGTATTCGGAGACTGGATGATTTTTATGGGTGATTGGGTTGTTTTTATTTGACCGTGGGTGTTGGCTAAGTGTCCATTGATTTGGTTTGGCTATCAATTTCTTTTGCTTATTTTTGTTACCTGTGAACGAGGAAGGGGAGGGAGGCGGTGTTAGAATGGATTTTCATATATGTGCATCTGTGTTGCAGAGAAGGCATTGTGGACTTGGGGAAGAAGAAAACGCCTACTTTGAATCGGATTCTTGAAAGAAAGAGACAGGGAAGAAAGAATTAGAAGGAAAAATGAGAGAGAGAGAGAGAGAGAGAGAGAGAGAGAGGACGAAAAAGGAAAAAGAATAAACAAAGAGAAAGAGAGAAGAAATTATTTTACATTTTCTTTATTATTTTTTGATATTGTCCTTGTAAAATGACAAACTTACCCTTATAATTAACAGAAAATTGGATGGAAGTCTAAAAACTTAATGAGAGGTGCTTAATTGACCATTTAAAATAGTCCGAGGTCTAAATCGGCTGAAAAAATAATTTAGGGTGTGAAGTTCAATAGTCGAAATAGTTCAGAGGGTTTTCAGCTATTTACCCAAGATACTACTTGTATGTTCTCATTGATTATGGTGAAATATTCCCTGTCGTCAAAGTGGATGTAGCATAGTGGAATATTCTCATCATAAATATATATAATGTTCCCAAGCATATCATGCAATCTTTTATTTTATGTCATTTAATTACAAGAAGAAATCATATGAATTTTTGTGGAAGAGGACACAAGATTTGGTGATCGCACACTTTTTGAAATATGAAAATGATTTACAAACTAAGAACTTGGACAGACTCCATATCAACTACCAGTGACAAAAGAATCACAATAGCCTCAACCTTCTAACTTCCATCTCCAATTGGCAATGGCAAACCCAAGCTCAGTTAAAGTAGTTGAAGTTTGCAGTGTGGCTCCTCCTCCTCCGTCCTCACCTGGGGCATTCGCTTCCCCGAGCTCCCTTCCCCTTACCTTCTTCGACATCCGTTGGTTAAGGTTTGGGCCGGTCCAGCGCCTTTATTTCTACCAAATGCCTACTTACTCTGCAACACATCTCTTCTTTGATTCCATACTTGTCCCAAAACTCAAAGCCTCACTCTCTAACATCCTCCAGCACTTTCTACCTCTGGCAGGAAACCTCACTTGGCCTCAAGACTCCAAAAAGCCCGTTCTTAGCTATGTCCAAGGTGTGAGAATGTGAAGGTAAAGACTCCCACATTGGAAAGTTGAGAAACCTAGCAAGGGCTTATAAGAAGTTGGGTTACTGCCCCCATTGCCAATTGGTTTTGAGGTGGAACCTCAACTTCCTTCATGGTATCAGAGTAGGTTAGCCCACGTATGAAAGCCCAACGGCCACACGTGCTCCACGTCACCCAATATGTGTTGTCCACATGTTAGGCTTGAAAATTCGCCACACGTGTGGGGGCGTGTGAGAATGTGAAGGTAAAGGGTCCCACATTGGAAAGTTGAGAAACCTAGCAAGGGCTTATAAGGAATTGGGTTACTCCCCTCATTGACAATTGGTTTTGGGGTGGAACTTCAACTTCCTTCATGGTATCAGAGCAAGGCTTCACGTGTTGGGCCCAACGGCCACACGTGCTCCCACGTCACCCAATATGTGTTGTCCACATGTTAGGCTTGAAAGTTCGCCACACATGCGGGGGCGTGTTGAGAGTATGTGTCCCACATTGAAAAGTTAAGGGACCAAGCCTGGGTACCATGAAGGAAGTTGAGGTTCCACCCCAAAATGACGTGAGAGCACGTGTAGCCGTTGGGCCCAACACTTGAAGCCTTGCTCTGATACCATGAAGGAAGTTGAGGTTCCACCCCAAAACCAATTGGCAATTGGGGGAGTAACCCAACTCCTTATAAGCCCTTGCTAGGTTTCTCAACTTTCCAATGTGGGACTCTTTACCTTCACATTCTCACACCTTGGACATAGCTAAGAATGGGCTTTTTGGAGTCTTGAGGCCAAGTGAGGTTTCCTGCCAGAGGTAGAAAGTGCTGGAGGATGTTAGAGAGTGAGGCTTTGAGTTTTGGCACAAGTATGGAATCAAAGAAGAGATGTGTTGTAGAATAAGTAGGCATTTGGTAGAAATAAAGGCGCTGGACCAGCCCAAACCTTAACCAACGGATGTTGAAGAAAGTAAGGGGAAGGGAGCTCGGGGAAGCGAATGTTAGGCTTGAAAGTTCTCCACCCATGATCTTGCGGAGGGATGTTAGAGTATGTAGAGCTAGGATTGTGACAAGTGTCACTTAGTCATTGACTGATGTTAGATTAGTTAGTAAGCTGTTGTAATCAGTTAGAGCCTTATAAAGCTTAACTCAATGTATTGTAGAGTAATCTGAGAAATAATACATAAAGGTTCATCTTCTTCTTAATTCTCTCTCTATTTTCCCTTTCATTAACACAAGGTGACGCCGTTTCACTCACGATAGCAGAGTCTAATGCTGATTTCTACCATCTTTCAAGTGGTGACTTTGTTGAAGCCATAGAGTACCATCCTCTTGTACCCTAGTTGGGAGCTTCTCATGAACAAGCTGCAGTGGTAGATTTGCAAATCACTATCTTTCCCAACTGTGGCTTTTCCATTGGAACTTCCATGCACCACGCAATCTTAGATGGCAAGACTTCAACTTTGTTTGTGAAATCTTGGGCTCACATTTGCAAACATGATGATCAATCTAATTCAGTACTACCTGATCAGCTGAAACAATTCTATGACAGAAAGGGCATTCAGGATCCAGCTCAGCTCGGAGCACTTTACTCGAACTCTTATCGAAATAAGGACGGTCCCAACAATCGAAGCTTAACGTTTTGGGAGAGGAAACCCCCATCGGGCTCTATCCGAGGCACCTTTGAATTCACAAGAGCAAATATAGAAACACTGAGGCAATTGTTGAAGGCTAAATTGGCAGAGCAGAAACAACAAGATATTCATTCAGTTCATGTGTCAACTTTCACTCTAGCATGTGCCTATACATGGGTTTGCGTAGTCAAGGCAGAGGAAATAAACAATGACCAAACACGTCTGGCTTTTAACGTGGATTGCAGGTCTCGCTTGGATCCTCTTGTATCTCCAAACTATTTTGGGAATTGCATAGCGGGACGTATAGCAGTTGCCGAAACAATACTGATGTTGGGTTGGTCTTAGACAAACATAACATGCAGGTTTTTGCTTCTCTATTTGCTAAAGGTATTCAAAACCCTTGAACTTGAAGCCTCCTCATTTGTACTATTCTGGGGAATAATAATTTGGGACTTCATTGCTTCTCTAAATATTTAACTTTGTGAACATCGCCTTTTTTTTCTAGAAAGATTCAGGCAATCAGTGATGACTTTGATGGCAAAGAAGAAGCAACAAGATCACTTAGTTCATTTGTCAAAGTTTTCTGTAACATGTGCTTGTACATGGGTTTGCTTAGTCAAGAGGCAGATGAAATAAAAGCAGACAAAATGCTTCTGGTTTTTCATCCTATTTTTTTCATTGTAATTATATTTGTCATGGAAATTTTTATTTTTATTTTTTTAAAATATGGGTCGCCTTTACATCACTTTGATTTAACTATTAAGACTCAATTAGCAGGTGAGATGGAATAATTCTGAGTGGAGTGGTAAGCATGTGGCGTCAAAGTAATTTTGATTTAATAATCTCATTCTAAATATATAATGTTTTTTTTTAATCGATTCTAAATATATAATGTTCCCACGCATATCATGCAAGGTTTTATTTTGTGTCAGTATTTAATAACTAGAAGAAATCATGTCCTGTTACGCATATGAATCTTTATGGAAGAAGTACGCAAGATTTGGTTAGAGTGCTGCTATTTCCACCCACTTGTACTATTTCTTCATCCACCTAATCTTGCAAATTTTAAAGACCAATTTATCCCTTTATAAAATGACTTCTATTGGCTTAAGAAAAAAAAGAATTTAATTCATGCAAATAAATACCAAGTTAAATGCATAAAGTAATAAGAACAATATAAGTGAAGTTTAGAAAAATCAGAATATTGTCGAGTCTAGAACTTGGTTCTATCTCTCTAAGATGAAATTGCTCCTCACTGGTGCTTCAAGGTTTCAATGAGAAACGTCTCCCAAGATACAACTTCCTTCTTTTGATAGTAGCACTCCAAACCACAAGAACAACGAATACAGACTCGTGCTCAGTGGCGGACCTGTGCAGGCGCAAGGAGGTGCACCTGCACCTTCGGTCGCCGGAAATCACCATTAGAGGTGCTGGAGTTGCACCTCTGCTCCAGACATGCGATGCACAGAAGGTGTTCGACGAAATGCGCGAGTCACTGGGCTTGCTGCGCTGTTGTTGTGCGCCTGTTTTTTTTTTAAAGATGCCTGGCCAAAACGACGTCGTTTTGGACCAGGGTTTTTATTTTTAAATTAAAAAATAATGGGAAACTGATGCTGTAAATGGACCAGGCTTTTTGTGGGCTTTTAAAATGGGTTTTATTTCCTTACTTAATTGGGTTTTATTTCCTTAGTCAATTGGGTTCTCTTTATTCAATTGGGTTTTGAGAATTCCTTAATTAAGTAGGATTGAGAATTCTCTTTATAAAAGACCAATTGTAAGTAACAATTGTAGGTTAATTGCAATGTTATTTTTTTAATTAATTATGAATAACATTAGTATTGTTTAAATGATAAGGATGTTTAACCCTTTTTTTTTTTTTTTTGGAAGCTCTTAACTTTTAAAAATTGCACCTCCGTTAAAAAATTCCTAGGTCCGCCGCTGCTCGTGCTTGAACTATGTCTCAATATAAGACTGTATTTTACTTACAAAGACTCATGTATGCAGTGAATCAATAGGAGACCAACCTTGTATGCTCTCAATCAATAATCAGCTTTTTGATGATGTTTTTCTTTGGACCAGGTGCAGGTGGCTCTGTCTGCATCAACTTAGTTTTTTTTTGGGTCAACTATAAAAATTGACAAACTTTGTATGCTCTCAATAATTACATTTGTGAACATGTAGTTCTTTGGACCACGCCAGGTAGCTGGCTCTGTTTCTTTTCCTATGTACTGTCTCTAATATCTATTTCTTTTCCTTTGTATTATATCCAGTTAAAAACAATGCGCTTACTTTACTTACCTTCTCTTCCAAAGCACTATTGTTAATTTAAAGTATTCAACCAAAGTTGAAATATATATGTGAAATCGTATTTTATATATATATATATATTTTACTTATAAAATTTTCAATGATATTTCATTTAATGATATCACAATCACGTCATTTTAGAAGTCAAATTATGCATTTAAGATTTATGTGAAATCATTTATTGTAAGACTTTTGTCAAATTAATAAATGCATATCATGTCATGCAATTTGCAAAATCAATATAAGAAGCTCCATGGAAGGTTTCAAGAAGTCATTGGCATGTTTACTAATCCATAATCGGAATTAAAATAAGGAGTTGAATTCCTGTTATGGATACTCCTGTGTTTATTTCACATGGAAAAATAAAAATGCGAGTGCGACTCAAACAAAATCAGGAACTCTTGGGTGGGAGAGGTAGTATTCTAAATCCTAGAGAATTAACCTATTAGGAATCCATCTTTTTTACCCATTATATCCTCACACAATTTTAAAATTTTAAAATTTTCTATCTACTTTAACTCAACAAAGAGGGTAGTTTAGTAATCAAATTGGTTTCAATTTCAATTCTTGTGAATTTAGTAAACAACTTATAAAGAATTAGTACTACTCCTACTCCAATTCTATATGGTTTAATAAACAACTTCAATATGAATCCAAAATCTAAACTTTCCTCAATCCAATCCAATCGGATTAGTATGTAATCCAAAAAAATAAAAAGGAAGAAGCTATATGTAAGTTATGAAACAGGAAAATAAGGACAAACAAACAGGAAAGAAATAAAGCAAATCTTTTTTCTCCATTAAGAAAAGAAAAAAAACAGAAAGTTAATGTTACGGGTAGGAGTAATTAAATGCAGTATAGCATCTTTGTTGAGGCCAAAGAGTACCATCCTCTCGTACCCCAATTGCCATCCTCTGGTTCACCAAGGTTTGGGATTTATGATACAGATTTTGGATGGGGAAGGCCAAGCAAGGTGGAGGTGGTTTCGATCGAAGAGCGGATTTGGTTCTTAGTAAAAAAACTCACTAATAATAAAAATTTCCAACAACCACTTCCCTGAGCTTGCCGACAAAGCCTCCGCCGGCCTACTTTCTGCCATGGCTCCCGTTGTTCTTTCATTTTTTCCAATCTCTGTCCCTTTTCCCTCTCCATTAATTCTTCCTCTCTATTATGGACTTAGGGTTCATGGAATTTTCTCTCTATAGGGTTCAAGGAATTTAGTTTCAAATTGTTGGGGGTGGGATTTTGTGGTCTTTGAGAAATTATTTAACTTCATACGTGAAGGTTAAGAAATTTAAAAGTTTTTGAGGAATTTGATAAGCTTCCAAAGTCCTATATGGCCATTGAGATTATTGAAAATAAAAGCAAATTTTATAGTAGGTGAATAGGAATCCAATCTTGATTGCATAACTTTCCATGTATCAATAGCCGAATCAATTTTTTTTTCTTTTAAGAGCATCTTCAAGGGAGATGTCAAATACCAAACATCAAATTTAAATTTGATGGCTGATCTGATATCTTACACAGCTTTACACTCCACCCGATATGTCAAATTAAATTATTATTTTATTACATTTTAGTGTTGATTTATTTTTAATTAAAAAGAAAAGAAAAGAAAAAATAATAAAATATTCATTTGACATCTTGCTTTTGGGATGTCAAAAATAACATCCCAATCTCCAGCTTTCATTCCACATCAGCTTTGACACATCAGTTGGAGTGGTGTGAGATGTTATTTCTAGTCGTTAAATGTCTATGTGTCACTTTTGACACATCGGTTGCAGATGCTCTAACGATTGTGAAAGTGGAATCATCCATGTGTTGGGGTGTCATCAAATTCACACAGAGAATGAGGCAGTAGTCATGGAAGACAGTGGAATGTTTTCGCTTTGTTTTTGGGGGATGATTAATTTGATCGATGTTCATTTTAGTTGTTGTTATTTTGGTATGTTTGTTAGCAATGGTCCTCGGTTTCTCTCACCGTTTCTCATTTTTTATTTCTTTGATACAAATGATAGTATAAATGATTATAAATTTATCTAATTTATGAAAAAGGAACTCGAAATCGGGTGCAAGTCAATTTAGCGAAGAACAAGCTGCAAAGACATGCGCGACTCGGGTTCGCTCGTCTCCGTATCCAATTCTCAAAAGAATAAAGGAGTAGTTGACGTCGCTGTCGATCAAGCGGGTGGTTTTCTAGGTTTTTTTATTTCTAAAGTTTTTTTAAAATCTTTTTAATTTTAATTTTAAAGTAAATATGAGTGGTGAATCTAGTTGTCAAAAAATAATACATGTGACGGATTTTGAATGGAAGTATCACCAGTTGATGTTGTGATACCGTACTATTCTATTATTGTATTGTGTCACATTTTGTTAATTATGGGGTTAATAAACCCAACTAAAGGCATTTCATTTGATGCTAAAAAATGATGATCACTATTGGACGCAACTTAGAAGTGTGATGTCTTCGGTCTTGTGGGACCTAGTGGTGTGGTACCAGTCGAAGCACAGAGTGAGTACTGAATTAGAATCTTTTTTTGTTAGACCCATATTGCGAGAAATTATCTCTGGAATTCATAACAGCGAAATTTGTTCAAACTTATCGGGCGCAGCTTAAATTAAATAGTAAATTGAGCTTAGATCCATAAAATTCATTTTAAATCACTTACAACCCTTTCCTTTAGTTTTCTATTTAAAATACCCAATTTTTTCAAATAATACCCGATGACTAGGATCCAATTAAGCAAGTTACCTAATATAACTTAAATTTTGATTTATTGTATTTATCGGATTCCAAACCTACCCATATTTATAAGTTAATGTGTTATGAGGGGGTGTAACTAATGACACGTTGAATTTGGAAAGATCTCCAAATAGTTGTAATGGATGTAGGAATTCATTTAGAAACTTATTTGAAATTAAATATTAAATTCCATATTAAAGTATTAGTAATCTATTTTTGAATTAATGTTGTTTTCCTTTTATGAATTACAACTAGTAATCTATTTAACTTATTAGTAATTTAAATTCAATATTAAATTTAGGAATTAATGTTGTTTTCCTTTTATGAATTATACGACTAGTATTCTATTTTATTATAGTTTTATGAATAATAGTGTACATTCTAATTATGTTAAAAAATAATTTGATAATCTATTTATTATTTGTTTTTTGAAAAACATTTTTTTTAATGAACCTATTTTTTCTCTAAATAACGTACCTATTTTTTTTTT